TTCTATCCAAATCAAGCCAAATATTATATAAAACTCAGTCAAAATACCGTTAAGTACAAATGGATCCGTGTTAATTGATTGCTTCTTTGGAATCCGGTAAATAGTTTAGCCACGGCCAGTTGAAATTTATCAAGTTAAATAATTAGCAAACATTTGAAAATACTATTACAGTGGCAGAAAAATTTAGGGCAAGCGCAGCGTCATTTTCAGGGCCTTAAATTCGCATTTAATCTAAAGCATGAAGCATGCAAACATTTAATGTAATGCCAAAGGTTACGAGGTTTAAAATTTATTGCTGTTGATTTTAGCTAATGAGAATTTACTTTCTTGGTATATCTTTTAACTTAAATTAAAAACAATACATTTATAACTAGTCACACCTTTAAATGCAGGTATGAATAGTTTTTATTTTATAGAATATTTTTCTTATATATATGTACATACATATATATACAAAAACTTTCAACTCCAACGACAGAAAAAATTCTCGAAATCAAATTTTTTCACCGAACTCGCTCAGAATTTTTGACCAGCTTTAAAAAAACCGACTCACTAGTAGTGGATTGCATTTAAAATTGTATTGCCACCTGTATATGTATAATATTTATTTAGCTAACACTATGGAACAATTGAACTTTACAAGGACATAGTATCGCGTAACGGAACGCTTTGTGGTTTTACCGAGGATTTTCCTTCTAAAACAAACAATTTACAAATCAATGGGACAAGATATTGTAAACAAACGCGTGAAATCATGTTTTGTTTGATAGGGAAAACAAGCACATAAAAAGTTTAATTGCAGCAGAAGAACAAATTATAGCTGTCAATTTGAAATTAAAGACTTTCCTATTGTGCACTTAATCTACTTTAAATACCACGGCATTTAAATTAAAGAACAATCATTTTAACGTTTGTCGCTCTACAATTTGTATCCTTCGTCAATCACAAAACAAAAATATAGGTATAACTTTCTATTTTATTTCGGAGTGTATTTCGTTAACACCATTGTGAAATAGTGGTCTTGTTTTGTCATTAAAGGCATTATTTCCTTACATTCAACCTTTCAGGCAAGCAATAGCATTCATAATTAAGGTGCTAATAATTTTAGGCTTGAAGGATTTTTCACCTATACTTTCTCGGTTTCAGTTGAAATCTGAAGGCTAACCGAATGTTTAAAGCCAAAACCTCAGACATTGCACCAAAACGTTCCGACTTTTTAATTTTTTATCAGACTTTTCGTACAAATTGTTTGCAACTGATAAAAACCTTCAAATATACAGAATGTTTATAAATATGGCTCATTGTTTAGTGGTAGATATTTCACTTAAAAATACGTTCTCTCATCAATCACGTCCAAGAAAGTTTTCTAGGAGCAGATGCAAGGTGTGCGGAAAATGCATAGACAATGTAAGACTACATACTACAATTTCTTGGCTCAAAATAAGTCAATTTAGGCCAACTAGCCTATAAATATCCACAATAGATTTGCTTCGTAGCCAGAGACTTGGAAAATTTATGAAGCATTTTTGAGTTTGAAAAACGATTATTTTGACATCTGAATGATCTTTTAGCTTTTTTAAGCTTACACATTCATTATGTTTCACATACATCACTTTTGAGAGTAAATCGAACTGAATGAGAAATATCCGTACAAAACTATTCAAATTAAGATTCAGAAAACCGAGTAAGGAAGAAGTTTGTTTGAGGAACTTGTGGTAAGTACACCGAATGTGAACGGGATCAACACGTAGCTACTAATTATTGTCTAAATAATTTTGTTAGTTCTTATCTTTCGCTCGCTTGTCATAGGTACTTGCCCAGTACCAGACCCACAGTGAATATGCACTGAACGTACGGAATATAATAATATACCTAAATGAAAGGAAAGGCATGACTTTAGACCGGAGAGTATTTGATGCATCCATCATCGATTATCAAACGTTTTTCTAAACAATGCTGGTGCAAAGATATTATTTCCAGCCCGTCGAAATTTTAATTTTCAAAATCATTGAAGCAGTAATGGAGGTGCAGCAGCTGACCGCCACGATCACCAGCTTTGAGTCAACGATATTTTATTACGGAAACATGAAGCAAATGTATAAATGGATGCAAGTAATTTTATCGATAATCCGAATTTCTGTTGGAATGGAATTGCACCGACCAATTTCTCATTCAATGTTTGTCCACCTGTATAACTGAATAATCAGTACCTAGAGCGTGTTTTATGAGGAAAGAAAAAATAAATACCACTAGCTTGAGGTTTGAACAATAATCAAAAATATCTTAGCTTCGGCTGTTCAGAGTGTTAACATGTAATTTACCAAATGGAACATGATTAATTTTGTTTAAACCGCGTCGAGATATTTCAACGAAATTATGCAGAGATGAGTAGCTAAGAAGTATACATCTTCTGCAATAAAAAAATTTAATTTTTGCCTATTGCATGCGTACCAGCAAGCTATTAGCAAATCTTTAAAAGGAAAAATATTTCCACTTCACACGGTATTTTTGAATTATAACAATTACTTTTAAAATTCGAGTCTCTACCGAGTGACACATCAGTTTAAACACAAAAATAATCTCTATCCAATGATGAAAGAAAAAATAAAACTGAATGGTCTGTTATTTCCGTGTTGACGTATTTTTTGTACTTTGTTTAATTGTTCAGATTTAAAAGATATTTATAGAGGTTTGTTTTCAAATGTGCGTTTTGATAAAATTTAACATTTTGCTTTTTTAAATTAAATATCAACGCTCTGTACTTCCGTAAAGGATTATTGGGCTATCGTTTAGATAGCAAACTACAGTTTTTTTTTTCACGAGGAATATAATGAAAAACATATGCAAACGAACGTTTGCATATCTACGGAAATGTGTCCAACTTCTTTCATTATGTTGGAAACATTTCCTGAAATTTTATTATGAAATAGGGAAACTAATTTGACCTTTTAAGCATCTAAAATTGACAAATTTACTTTTGAAACACAAATAATCATGTTAAAGTTGAGTTTTCAAAAACCAGTTTGCAATTGTTTAGATTGTATACTGCTATTATTTCAGGTTCGTGATCTTCACAATTCACAAGTCCTTCATATTTGTAATTAAAAAAAAAAACACATATTTCGTAAGTTCTTCTTGGTTCTTACCGTAAATGTAATGTTATTAACAGCTATTTTAATATACTGTTAGTGATTATAAACTAGAAACCAACTAAAATATTAATATTAGTCGATTGCAGAAAATAATGAACAGTCTCCAGAAATGCATTTTAGACATATACAGAGTGTTTCACAGTTGCTCAACTTGTCAAAAGACATTACCCAAAGCTAGAAAAAATAGGAAAACTTCATGCGGTGACATCCCAGAAAGGATTTTTTTCAAGACAATATAATTTATTATGTCAACAATATAATTGTTAAAACATTGTAACATTAGAAAACCGAGTAAAAAAGAAGTAATGTACTATTTTCAGATCGTTTATTTGATTATTGTATAAAATTATCGAAAAAGCTACAGGAAAAGAACCGACTTAGTCACTTTGTACGCCTAAAGCGCCTTCGCACGAACCCATATCATTTTGTATGATAATATAAATATTTTTTCTGGGTGGTAGAATACCAGCTAGGCTCAATTTTAAACAGAATTTGAGGTAGATGAAGTATTTCACCGAGACGAAACCGAACACTTTTCGACTTGATTGCCCCGATGATTTTATGAGCCACAGATTAATATTTCATTAGGCAACATTTCGGAGTAAATCAAACAACTGAAGAAATACCGAGGAAACAATGTGAACGAACAACTGTAATAAGGGTCAGGCATGAACGGTTTCGGTAAAAATAAAACTGGGACATTTAAGAGAATTTAAATTCTTGTAAAATCGAGTTAAAAATGAAAATTCTCTGTGCAATATAAAAACAATGAAATAGCCCCGTTTCCATGCAAACATCATAGAAAATACACGTAGTCTTTTAGACTGAGGTCACACATGTTACCTCCTGCTGCATGCACAGATGCAACTTATCATGTCCAAATCTTTCTTTGCTTAGGTAGGTTTAAAATAAACTAAATAATATTCTCCAAATACATTTAAATAATACTTGTTGCAAATATAAAGTTGGCTATTGAATTCAGCAACAAATAGCTGATTAGGATTTTACTTTATTACCTTCATGGATATTTTATAAACTTTAATTCACTTTATAATCAAATCATAACTCCTATTTGGGATGCTGCTTGGTGTCGATTTATTTATGATGATTTTCAACCGTTGGTGATACAAAATGTAAAAGATAACGTGGAAAGAAAAGTATTAGATATTTAGATAGGAAGCATCAGATTTGTAGTGCATGTTCTGTTACTTTTTTCGCAACATGATAGTCACGAAAATTAAAAAAAAAATAATTAAACCTAAATGGCGATAATGTGTAATAGTGAACATGCAATGAAGATTTGAAATGAAATCTTTATTGCGTGCCTACGTATTTAATTAGTGACTGAATGTGAGTGATTATATGATTGTCATTACTTATTGTGAAACAGTTTAGTGCAAACCCTATTTGATCTAAATTTAGACCTTAGAAAAATGTGCAATATAGCGCATTAGCATAAGCTGCTGTAGTTTTAATAGAAAATTGATTACCAATATAAACCAAAGCTGCAGCTTGGCAAACAATCAGCTGTAAAATAATATTGCAGAACTGTTCCAATGTAACATACGCAGCAAAGTTAAATTAAATAATTTGTCTAAGACATTGATGATTAATATAAATTGCCAGTAGCACCGATATAAATAAATAATATAGTTAAAAAAGAGAAGGGTACAGGATATTGAGTAACAATTAATTACGACAATAAACTATAATGTACATTTTTAAGACCTTGCCCGTAACAGAATTACGATACATGGAAGATAAAACGAGCACCAAGCTACAGACAAGTATTTACAAGAGAAAAACAAAGAACTGGAGGAACTCTTTTAGTTCTTCTGAATTACTTACTAGGGTCAATGCTTCTTTGGACCATGCTAAAATCGGGTAAAAAATTGTGAATTTCTTCTAATTCCTTAGTATCACAACCCTTTTGAGATCACAGCAATATATTGAAACATTGTTCTTTCAAAAGTTTACAAAAAAGAATGTTTTGAATGTCACAGATCCGAACTCTACAAAAACCACGAACACACAGCTGTTTGTCACTGAAACGCTAAATGTCAGCAACATTTACGAACGACTCGTCGATCTCTGCTCGGGAGTTTTCGGAATACCAGAAGGGGATGTTGAAGTACAACGAGAGCCCAACATACACAGAAGTGTATATACGGTGGCCTAGGACCAACATATTTAATGACCCAATAAATTCAAAATAATTATATTTTATTTTACCAATTGTTTCTACACTTCATTTTCTTCGTTTTGCAATGGAATTTTACAAGGAAAAGTTCATGTTACTTTCGTAATATTCATATTTGAAGGAAGCATTGATTGGCGTGCACCACAGATTTTTTGTATTTGTTTCACTTAAAAAATAACACCCCATATTGTATTGAACAGATGATAACTGTCAGTTACGTCAACCGTCACATGCCTTTCTAAATAAATAAATATACAAATATATTTTAATAATTAAAATTATTTATTAAATTAATATCATGCATACCGACTTATCTGCACACCTTCACTCTGATAAGTGTAATGAATTAATTAAATTATTACGACAGTGCCGGATAGATGTAAGTAAAATAAAGATTATTTAGAAAATTAAATAACTTTATTAGTCAAAACAGCTATTTAATTTATGGTCACATTTAATTTATAACACACTATTTGGTATAAATATGATAAATGTAAATGTGCATTTAAACGCTGTTATGTAAGTGAAAATCTATCAAAGTTTAGTCACAGAGAATGAGTTTACACAATGTTCGCACTAATTGCCATGGAACTCATCTGAGGATTCTAAATTAAGAAAATATAAACCAAAAGGTCATATAAAAATGTTAATTAATATGGACATTCAAAGCTTAAACTGATGAACTGCACTCTCCATGAATCAAATGAAATCTAATGAAATAAGATGACCAAATTTTTTAGAATGGAAAAGGGGACAAAACCAGATAAAAAAGAACCTGCAATATAAATAAACCAATTTCATAAATTCAAGCAAAAATGCCCCATCTTGAGCAAAGTTACATAATTGATTTTGATTTGATTTATGTATTCTACTAGCAACCATGAAATTTTTCACCTATATTTGATCGATTGTTCCAATTTATCAGAATTTAAATATGGTCTTGCATGTAATTGCCATCGGTTTCAATATCAGGCATTTCTTTCGATAAAAACAACACAATTTTCAATGTCAGTACAATTGACTTGTGATAAAGTTGAAAAACTCCATTGAAGTCTTTTATTGCCTGTGATATATGTTCTACACATACTGGAAACATGTTATGTACAAAATCTACACTTCTTTGACAAAAGTTCAAACTCGCTAAAAATGATATTAATTTCTGGCGCTGAAATATGCTCACCTTCAATCTCTGATTATGTTCAAAATATATTAATATCTCCGGTAATTCTCCAGGATTTTCGGACATTCGTCTGAACTTGAAAAATTGTTGTGGAGCACTCATATCTTCTGGAAAACAAAAAAAAAAACATCCTGATCTAAGCAGCGTATCTACCAATTCCACATAGCATTTAACCATTTAACACACTTAAAGCATGTATCTTCTTTCAACATTTCGCCACAATAAAAAATATATAACTTGGTGCCGACGAAGCTAGATTTCGAATAGAGAAAACAATGAATATAACATGAGTAATTTACGTTTTAAACATATTACGTAATTATGAAGACACATTATTCAATATCTTGCCTAATAATTTAACATTAAGATTTGTAAATGATTACCGTTTTCAGTATCCAGCAAGACAACTTTTGGGAAAGTGTGATCATGAATACATCGAAATGACTAAATGTTTAAAGGCAGAAAGGATAGCAAGACGACAAAGAAGCATAGAACAGTCGAAAATCGAGAAAGAAAGGATGAATACTTTGTTTAAAGAACAGGCTCAAAAAAGCTAGGAATATGTTATTTATGTTGAAACTTTTGTAAATAGTGTTAGACCGTTTGAGTGAGAAATAAAGACACTTTTGAGACATTTACTTTTATTATATGACATACACTTAACTTAACATATAAATTCATACTGATGCTAACAAATTATCTTGTTTTTTAAAGAAATATTTTTGTAATCAAGCATAAGGCAGACACTGTCAGAGCAAATATTTTTAACTGTAAGTAGTTACTTGCCTTCAGAACTAAGACAAACAAGGTTTTCTATAAGGAAATATTAGTATCTGATGGGATGCAGAAATATACATAAGAATCACTACTATCAACACAAATAATTACAATTGGGAGCACAATTTCACTGGAACTTCATAAAATAATCAATGGGCGAATATCAACAGTAACTAATTATTTAAAAATACGTTGATGTTGCACAGTTTTGTCCATTTAATTCCAAAAGTCCTAAAGTTAATACTTAAAGTGACTCGATTTATAGACCTAATACTTTTCGATCAGAATTGATATCACAGTGTAAACAAACTGAAATTTGGGAAACAATTAATATGTGAGGTGAGCCACTTAACAAAATATGTATTTAACATTAGAAGCATAACTAAATAAAATTATTGACATACATAATACAATTTGCGAAAATATACCGTAAGGTTTAAAAGATTATGGAAAATAATAATACGTTTTTATTGAAGTCGTCAATAAGAGTTAAACAATTTTAGATATATATCTGTATCTTTTTTGCAAATTGTAATACATATATAATATTATTGAAACAATTTACAAAAGATATTACAAATACATTTACTATTTTGAATATAATGAAGAATTTAAACCATGCTACTTTGTGAAAGCAGCAAATACTGCCCAAAGAACCTCACAAGTATTAGGTTTATTGGCTTCCTCCTCAAAGTTTAGGTCAAGAAGTTTTCTTACTCTTTTGGTTGCCAGCTCGTAATCATCATCATTTAGGGGAGCAAAAGCATTTTCAAGAACGTCACTTGCATGGGCCAGGAATATTAAGGCCAACATCCTTTTATCCATATGATGTGGATTGTTCACCCATTTGGTAAGAACTGCATCTTGAATCTTTTTTATTAAACGAGTTTTTGTTACGTTGTCTGTTAAGGGATGCGTGGTCATATCAAAGAACAAAAAATTTTGTTTTTCAGTTGTCAGAACACCTTTTTCAACTAAGTTTTTCGCTAATCGCTCCCTGACATTCTTTAGTTGATATCGTAGTTTTAAAGGATTCCAGGTTTCGCCACTCAGGTATTCAATCCAACTTTGTACACTCTCCGGAGGATCTGTCTCTTTTAGATGTTTCAGCGCTTCATCTAGCAGAACGTCACCTACAGTGGAGTCACTTTTCACTACGAGTTTCCGAGCAAGGAGACTTCTCCTTCGCATGCCATTCCTCTCAAGTTCCACTCTGCCTCGAAGACCTAATTCGATTAGAATACAGCCCCTGAGTCCACTCGAAATGCAGTCGTTCCAAAATGAGGTGTACCCTTCTTTATCTTTTAAGCCAAGCAGTAATACCTCTTCCATCAACGTTAGTCTGGTTTCCTTGGAGTCTCCTTCGTCTACTTCCTCATCCCTGCTTGGTTTGCGCTCATCTCCGTCTTCTTTTGGTAAACCGTCACTATTTTCTCGTGCTACATTTCGCCTTTTCACAAAACCTTCACTTCGATTCATTTTTTTCAGAGCACATATCTAATTATCAAATGTTGACGTTTACGATTTTAGGGTTTTGACTGACGACACAAGGAAACTGTCTTGATCATTTACGTCGTGGGCCTTGACAGTTCGATCAGCCTTTCCCTCCTGTTGCCATATTGCGAATATAATCTGAAAATCTTTAACATTTTTCACGTATTACATCCAAATTAGCAGTTTGTACGTGTAATATAAAACACAAATTTTCTAGCCCATTTTAAACAGCTTTTACCTGCATTTATGTTAATTATAACACTTAAATAAAGTGTAATAAAAATTGAGAAAACAAAAATACACGTCTATTGCTAATCCTAGTGTGGTAGATTTGGCAATATAAAGGTCAATTACAAATTTCCCATCTACTACACAGAGGGCGCGGTTACGTTAACGTTGCACAGTTGGTGAGGGATTTAATAGAGACGTTTCGCATTCGTCCACTTTACGCAATAATATTTTCGTTACCATTATTTTATTGGACGAAAAGCGTAGTCATGAGAGCGTTATCATTGGATTATAATTTTTGAATGCTAAAGATACTAAACATTTCATGAAAATCGTCCAGAATCTAAAGTTTTACTGGCTTACAAAATATCGATCTCATAATGAAACTACAACAGGCGGTTCTTTAAAAATTCTAGAATCTTTAGCATATATTCCACTCTATAATTGTACACATTTTCAAAGAAATAGTCTGAAATCCTGATTTTTGCAAGCTTATTAAATATCAGTCTCAAAATATGTTCCCAACTGCGACCTTTTCTTTAAACACTTACATCTTTCAAATTAACGCAAGTAGCAAATTTGAAACTTTTACAATGGTTAGAAGATGCTTGTCCCTACGTATTCTCATAGCTTTAGAAAAATCAGTGATAATTCTGATTTTTGCGAAGCTAGTGAAAATCGGTCTTGAAATTGTTGATTGCACTCAAAGCGCTGTCTCGTAAAAACTCGCATATTTAAAAGTAATACAAGTAGCAATATTTGAAGCTTTTATCATATTTACAAGATGCTTGGCTTTACACATTCTCAAAGTTTCAAAAAACACGTGTAGATTTCTAAATTTTGGCAGCTTAGTAAATATCAGTCTCAAAACGGATAATACTCATCTGCGCTCTGTCTTCAAAAATTCCCTTTTTCAAAGCTAAAGCAAGTAGCCACTTGGAATTTTCCCTAGATTCAGAAGATTTCCCTAGATTCAGAAGAAGAAGACACTACACACTTTTGGAGTTTCATAATCGTCCGGAAATCTAATTGTTGCGAGCTTACTAAATATCGAACTCACGCTAGAAGCTTTTACTCAACTGCGCTCTATCAAGAAAAAAATTATACCTCTCAGATTGATACTAGTCACAATTTCAAATTTTTGTCATGTCATCAACCATGTCATCTTTACACTTGGTTCGAAAACCACTGAAAGTTTCACAGACATCAAAATTAATCTTGATTTTTGCCAGCTCAATAAATATTGGTCACATAATGATTGTTTGAACATTACTGCTCTTTCTTCTTTAAAAGTTCGTATGTTCTAAACCAATGGAAGCAGCCTTTTGAAATTTTTGTTATATTTAGACGATGGTCGACTCTACAAATTCTTAGAGGTTAATAAAAATCTCTCAGAATCCTGATTGTTGCCAGCTTAGCTAATATCGCTCTCATAATAGATGATTTTACACAACTGCGCTCTATAAAAAATACCACACTTTTCAAATTGACGGAAGAACAATATGAAATTTTTGCAATCTTTAAGATACTTGGCCGAAAATATACTAAAAGTTTAAAAAAAATTATGTACATTCCTGATTTTGGCCAGCTCAATAAATATCGGTCTCAAAATGGGTGTTTGTAATAAAAAATTCAGAGTGGGATACATGCGACTGGGGCAATTTAAATGAGGGACACTTTGAGGAGTAAAAAAGTTTATTTTACTTCATAATGTTACTTTCGAATATAGAATGCTCCTGTATTACATGTTTCTTCTTCAGCCTACAACAAACGAAGAGCTAATAGTAACTAATAGCTCTTCATGTACAAATAATGTTTTGTAATATTTGCAACAAATTTCGAGGAGTGATTGAAAGTTTAACAAAAAAAAAACATATTTCTATGGGAATGTGTCCAGTTTTGTTCAGAATTAAATATATTTTTTTGAACAGATACAAGAGTAAGTGAAGATGCTTCAATGCCTGAGTCTTGAATCAGGATAAAAACTTATGTTAGATCTAATTTTTCTAGTTAACTTAATGTTATTAAACGCCTATAATTGCTTGCGTTTGCTATTTTAAAGTGTTGGGCCCTGTAAATAGAAATTTTATACGAAATGTCGCTAAGTTAATTTTCCTTACAATTTTACTCAAGTCAATTATTAATTTATTAATACTTATTTACCGCTCAGTACATCGAAACGGAAAACTATAACTATTAAAAGGATTTGAAAAATGCAGAGTATCAAACGATATTTTTTAAATTGTCTTTCATAGATACTAAACGTTACATTGAAAACAATTAAATGTGCACTTCTGCATTATAGGTACTGATATCTGCAAGAGCTAAATGTGTTTAATATATAAACATTTTTACAATTATCTACTGAATAGAAAAATTAATTCTCGATATTTTTGGGAACATTTTATTGTGCTAATAAATATTAGCCAAATTAGTCAGATAAAATTAAAATACGAGAAGTAATTGAATTCCTAAAAGTAAAAGCAAGATTATATGAGACACTACTAAAGAACTGGAATCAGATAGACCACAGCATTCTGTAGCGATAGACAACACCTTAGGATAATATTCGTTCCAAAATTCGAAAGCCTTGTAGTTGACACTTTTCGAACTGCTCATGTATATGTTATTGTCCATAATTAATAAACCAGGATTGTCTTTTGTAAAACGATCCCATTTTATCGGGTAAATTGTATTTTTCGTTGGATCAGATGTTTTAGCAAAATTGGTCCAAAAAGACATAACGGTATCAGCTATTCGTTTGTCTCTGGGATCCCATTCTTGCTGATCGGGTTTCCAGTAGGGCAAGCCCCAAACGTAGGTTAAATCGAACAAATGTGGTACCTGTACCCAATTTGGTAGATTTTTATTCGCTATTTTAGAACTGGGTTTCATATCAAATCTGTAGACGAATGTTGGCTGATTTATGCTTAAATATGAAGCCAGTAAAATCGTGGAAGAACCATACGTTTTCTCAACCATGAAGTTTCCTATGATAGTCCTCAGCGTGTCTGCATCATATTTTGGAGTGGGGGGTGAATAGAAAAACATTACTGAATCCACTACGTGGTCATAATTATAATTACAAGAGGATTCTGTGATATTTATGTTGGGAAGATCTCCCCTAACAAGTTCTTCCATAATTTGGTGAAGTATTTCTGAAGAATATGTGACGTTAGCGTCGATATCGTCAAGTTCGAGGCCTTGTTCCATATTTGTATATCCAGTTAAAACAGGAATTTTTGCATAATCTTCACGATCGAAAAAGTTCTTTGGAGGTTCTGGTAGAAATGGAGCGCTCTGGTTAGTTAAATCCTTATCAATAAGAGGCCTCCAGTTAATATTTGAGGTTTGCTGAACTAACGAATCAGGTTCAGCACGTCGTAAGCATTCCAGCAAGCGAAACGTTGGTTTTCTTAAACAGCCAAACTCTTTGGCGAGCTTATCTACAACCAATTCATCTTCCTGAGGATATCGAATGGCTGATGGCTGGAACAAACTTCCACTCATTACTATTGCCTTGTGAAACAGGTCTCTGCAAAACAAATGTATAACATTTAAAACTGGCAGACTTAGGCTTTCTAAATGAGTTGCAAAACCACATAAATGGCTTAGCCAGCATATCGTGTTCTAACAGCAGCATAAAAGCATAACATTAAAGGCGATTTGTATGTTCAACTTGTTTCTATAATGATATCTGCAGTAATTTAAACTGGCGGGACCTTGGCACAGTTAGTTTTATAAAACATGGAATAGCCAAAAACGCAAGTGCAATATTTCACTCCACCAACCTCGATTGCTGATTGATCATATGAATGCCGATGCTGGTAGCGCCTGTGCCATAACCCATAAGACAAATGTTGTTAGAATTTCCCCCGAATAATTCAATGTTCTTTTTCACCCAATCCATTGCGGCTTGTTGATCCATTAAGCCGTAGTTGCCAGATACTTCCGCATCCATTGTTGTAAAAAATCCCATAATGTTCAGTCTCCAAGCAAAAGTAACTATGATAACCCTTTGCCTATAGACGAGTGTATGCGGGTTCCAGATTGAGGGTAAACCGGTTGTGAAATTTCCCGGATGAATCCAAATTATTGTGGCATAACCCTGAGGTGGCTTAGGAGCTGAAATTTTCAAACGTTTCAAACCAGTGGAACTTAATTAATTAATAACAAAGTGAAGAAATTATAGTTCATAGTTCAAATTTAACTTAACAAATATAAAACTCAGCCGGAAACTTTAACATTGTTTCGTTGATTTGGACGTTTACCGCAAACCGTGATTTAATCTACAGTTTTTAATTGACCATGCAGCAATACAATTACGTAATGGCATGGAAAGGTAACGCTTTTCCATGACTTCTATTTTTATAGGTTTAGGGCAGCAAAGCTATAAAACACAAATCAAAGGCCATAAAAATGCGAAACAGAAAGTAGAGTTCTGTTTGATTTTACAGCATTTCGAGTTGTTCATTTAGTTCCAGAACAAAAGGCTGTTTTACAGCTACTGGAAAATAAACTTTATGACTTCTTTAGGAATTCTAAATGCGACAAATTTTTAGGATTGTCGTTGGAAAACAACATATGTATTTCAATTGTTCATTTTATGAAGATAATAAATTATATTTCTACTTTGCAGCTGCTGAATTTTTATGCAAACAGCCAAAACTCAACAAATTTTTAGGATTTACGTTTTTGATTGATTGATCTTAAGAATTGTCGTTTGAAAACCAGATATTTGAAAATTTGAATTAATCATTTTATGAAAAGCAGACATTCTATTTCTGCGTTGCAACTGCTAAATTTTAACGCAAACAGCGAACATGGAATAAACTCATTATTATTAGCATGTCTCAGTCACTTCAGAGTTGGAATTAATCGCTAATAACTCTCATGTATTAGAATAGAAAGTCGCACCTATTTACGCATTTTTCCTTTTTTTGTTTGGTTAATTTTAAATTAAAGTTGTGAAGTTTAGAATGTACATTTTCTAAATTGAAAATCCTCGATGGCTACTCTTCAATACAGGCGATAATAAATCCCTAATGCGGTAATAACTCAACTAACTACTTGTATCATAAACTTGCCATAGTCTTCGCTTACCTCACAAATATCTGATTAAAATACTATTTTTTTTTTATAAAACTAACCTAATTAGCAATTCAATTGAATAATATGCAATATGCAGTCACAGAAGTAACGCCAAAATTAATTTAAAATTCAGCGGACCGTTTTTTGGAAGAAAAACAGGGACCCGTCAATTTTTATTTGTAAATGCGATTTTTTAATATTAAAATTTATTTATACAAAATACAAATAGTGGCCCAAAAAATAACTTAGGACCATCAACTTCAACAAATTTAGATATTCCTTCTGGGCTCACTGTATATTTTTACTATGTACTTTGTTAAATGCCTTCCGGGGTTTATTAGTTTTTTTCTTGCACCATTAACCTCGTCCCTCCCTTGTGTTAGCATTTCAGCTCCAGTAGCTATTTCAATTTATAAATACCAAATGTTGACATTTCTTGGAAATAATGAAAGGAAACCTATTAACTGAGCCTCGTAAGAGAAAAACTCTGCAAGAAAATTAGGGATAACTTAAAATTTGTATATTCACCTTTAAAACTGAAGTTAGAATTAGGATCCTCAAGGTAGTTTTATAATGTTACTCAAGAGACACGATTTGCAAATTTGTTAATTGACAAGGACAAGGAATTGTCAGGTGTTTTCAATATATTGTAGTTAATACGTGGATACGATTTGAAGAAACGTATTAATTATATCTCTTATAACACCATAAAGAATTGCAAAATTGGTTGTTCCATAAATTTTTAAACTTTGTTATTCAGAAAAGTGTCTCAACTTAGTATCAAACCATGCCAGTTTGAACCAAAAAATAATTTCCAAACTTTTCAACGGATTTTTTCGATTAGTTCAAAACGCGCAATCTTTTTTAGAGATTTCCGAACTTTTTAGACCAAAAAACTCAAAACTGACGCTTTTTAAAAAAATTCTTCTTAAAAAATGTGAAGTTGAAGAACTCGATAGATTTCGATATTTTATAAGAAAAATCTATTCAAACTCATAAAAAATCAATCGATTTGTCGATTTTATTCACTTTCCACATCTTTGAATCTTTGCTCAGAAATATACAGGTCCGTCTCTAAAAATTCACAAGCCGAACAGACGGAAGACCGAAGCTTCCGGGATGTTTAGAAGTTCTAGAAGGTGTACAACTTTCATTTGAGTTGGAGTGCGCATTAGTTTTTAAAAAATTTTCAAAACCTGCGAAACTCAAAATGTTGGCTATTTCTGCCTAATGTCTAATACACGTACTTAGAAAATCTTTTTTGAAATATTGAGAGTGGTACGATGTATTTTGGTGAAACTTTAGCTGTAAATTTGTTCTTGTGTAAGACAATCGAGTTCAGCCGGTTTGGACAAGTCTTACATAACTTCTTAATCGTCTTAATGTCTAACATTGTTAAGTGGCAAGGAAGCAGAAATGTTTTTTTTTTCGAAAAAACTATAAATGCTAAAAGATTTTACAAAGAGCACAAAATTGTGAACAAATGATTAGTGCATCAACAAACAAAAAATTACTTGATTTCATCAGTCAAATAAAAAGTTCTAGTAGTTTTTGTACCACGACACTCAAGAATTCACCACTTGTCCAAAACGGATGAACTCGATTTCATCAAAATCTTTCGTCCATCGTACAATTTCTCCCGTTATTTCAAAAATACATTTTTTTTGAAGAACTTTGACCATCAATAGCAGACGAGCCAGACATTTTTTATTAATAAAAGTTAGGTCAGATCGTCTTCTTTTGATGCAAACAATATCGCAGCATCCTTTTGATCATGTGCTTACGGGACACCCTGTATAAAGTATACACGGGCCCGTCGGTAGTGATGAGTAAAGCAAAACCAAGTCAAGACTTCCATGGTTTTAATAAGAGGTAAAATTCAATAAAAGCTAACGAAAACACAACTTTTGCAAGAGTCTTGCGAGAGTCTCTCAAGTCTTGATCTTGGTCATACATGGTCTTGGTCTAAGTTTGGCAACCCAAAAGTCAGTCTTGGTCTTGGTTTTCGTCTTCCTTTTTTCACACCAAGATTCAAGATCAACACCAAGACTGCAAGACCAAAACCAGTCTTGCTCATCACTACCAGCAAGCTTCTAAAATGCACTGCAAATTTCAAACTTTCGAGATTTCAGTTAATAATGCAAATTAACAAATACTAATTTATTAATATTGTAATGAAAAATTGTTGCTAATTGTGCAATTATTTTCATTTTTATGTTCACCATAAGAACAGTATGTATTTATATTCAGCTTAAAAGCTTCAATAATCCCATTGAAGTAATTTTATTAATTCCCGGATTAGAGATGTAAGCAAGGTTTTTTGAAGCTTATGAATTGTTATTATCGGTGTATCTCTAAACTAATTAATAAAACCCTGTATGAGATAAGATAGGAATGGGTATTACGCATTATAGTTAATGCGATCATTAGGTGGCTGAGTGGTTCAGATTTACCTAATTAATCTGAAGCTAAACGAAATAAACGTTTCGTTTTGTCGCTTAATCCCATGGAAAAAGCATCTCCTTAGTGCTCCTTGAATAGGTACATGAATGAAACATTTTTTGAGTTTTTGCTGAGGCATAAACTAAATGTACGTGCACAGGACCGGACATAGGCATAGCGCTAACGCCATTTTCTAGCGTGTCTATGTCTCATTACCATACCATACACGCACATTCAGTTAAAGGGTCGATTAAAGAACAGACGGTTCTTTTGAATGTGGTAATTTAGCAGATTTTCCTGCGGATTTCTTCGAGGGAAGTTAAATCTTATCTAGAGATACGTTTTTCTAGAAAACTACCAAAGAAAACGCTAGTTAGCGATGATTGATTGATCTTGATATCGTCTCATAGTAGCAGTGGAAAAACCAATCTTGTTATCCTAAAAAATCCACCTTACATTTTTTAGGCACATTACGATAAGTGAAAGGAACATCTGCAAAAGCTGGTACATTGGTGTCTTCATTGTCCTCTTCCAGTTACTTCTCATTTGATGTATGAAGTGTTAATTACTATTTTTCTAAGAACAAGAAGTACAGAAATGCAGGTACAAGACTTCCTACAAATGGCCATGTATGCCATTTCCAATAGCATAAGTATTCCAGATTAATCTAAGAATTAATAGTTTATGCAATCTACATGTCATGATTTCCTTTCCTGATGACATATGGGAATGGAAAAAGGCAGTCGTATATTTTCCTGAAAGTAAAACTCTAACGGGTACCCAGGTGTATCGATCTCTCTGTTTACGATTAGATTGGAATCTGGCGATTTCAAAATTTAAAGGACTCAAGGTTGGAAACGTGGCAATTTATGGTCTTCGTGAAAATAAGGAACGTGGCATAATTTGGTTTTCGAACTTTTGTAATGAGAAAGTTGTTGTAAAAACAGAGTAAAGGCGTGGTGTAATGGTGAGGGTTACGATAAAGAAATTAATGGTAGCTATGAAGCATTATCTAGGAATGCAATCTCTAGCGTAAGTTACTTTATGAAGAAGGATATTTTGCGATGGCGTTAATTTGAAATCCATATCATCAACTTATTGGATTTCAAAGGAATAATCTTGCCTATTTTTCTTGATACACAGGAGGTTTCAAATATCCGGATGGTTTTATTTCAGTAATGTTTTACAATTGCTGCCCGTTTTTATCTTCGCAATGCAATCAATTCGATGTTCTTATTGAAAGACATATAAAAGATGCTAATTAATCTCTTCTAATAATTCTCTTGCTCTGGTATGCTATTTTATTATCGTGTTTAACACGTTATTTGGAACGTAAAACACTCAATAATTGTCCAGAATTCTCTAGAAACTCAATAATGTGTTTCAAAGCTCGCCAAAAACCACCAAAAATCTAAAAAAAATCTTGTTCACCTTTACTCGACGATCACAATTCATAATATTGCTTTAAACTGTTAATTATCAATTTTGATTGCTTTATTGAGTTGAGCATAATTATTTTTCTTACACCTGCAATTGTTAAACATAATTTATGAGTTGATTCGAACTTTTAAAGTGAAAAAGAAATTTTAGTAAATTTTGAAACAAAGATTGCGAGTATGTGAGTGAGACTTAAGTGAAACTAAGCGAACTAATACAGTTTTATTAGTTCGCTTTTCGTTGGAATAGAGTTTTTCATTAAAATTCGGTATTCACGAGTTTTCGAGGGTGAGAAATTTGATTATGAGCTCCGTTTTCAACCAGTCATCAGTTAAATCATACAATTAATAAACGATTTTTTAGCTTAAAAAAAATTTTGTTTATTCCCAAATCTCTTCACAGCATTTTGAATTTTTATTAATTGATAGTTTCGGGTATACAAAAATCTAGAGGATTAAAATCTATGGTGTTTGACTTCTGCTGATATTCTGCAAGAATATGGTAATCGTTCCTTATGTTTAGTGGTCAAATAATCAAAAAAATCATTTTGTAGAAAATTTAGTTACACATTTCAATTCCAACTGGGTTGTAAAATATAAGAACCAAATCAATTTATGTCCTAAATAGTGCGAAACTACTGAGAAAGCATCACAACCTAATAAGGCAATATTTTTACGTACGCACTTGGATGTATGGATACTTTAATTGCAAATATCTCGAAAACAGTTGAGTTTTAAAGTTATTTGAAAAAGACCATTTGCAAAAAAATATTTTGGCCCCCTGAATTTCTGTTTCCGGTCAGTTTTCTTCCAAGGAAGTTGTGCTAAATCGTATGCTTTTGTCTCCAGAAATATGTGTAAGATACGGTTTTGTAATAAAACTACAAACAAATTTTGTGCCCGCAAATACTTCATTATAAACCTTTCAATGTTTGAATGAATGTTTTGAATAAAGCTCTAAATGAAAGTCATTGAACTGACGTAGGAAAAGCACTATGTAATAAGATATGCCAGATAATGTGATAAATATATTTGAAAAAAAAAAGTTTTGTTAGTTTCCAGATAAAAAATTGTGTTTTATAATACACATTAAAAAGGAAACCAGATACTATAAAAACGCAAATGTGATAAAAAAATATTTCAAAAATAAAAAGAATTTGTTAGTTTTCAGACAAAAAAAATGTATGTTTTTTAATATACATTAATCAGGTTTTATAAAACTGCAATATACCAGAATACTCTGCAAGGGAATTTGACTTTTATTATCGCTGCTTGGAAATTTGTTAGTGATGACTTTTCCTTTATTCTGCAATACTAATTGAATTGCCAAGAAAATCCTTTAAACAATAAATTGTTCCTTTAAACAAAAAAGTGCTCTAACGTATTATTTTGATAATTATCATCCTCTTGGAAGGAAGCTTTATTTTAACTGCTTCAAAATAAAACGTTGTGAGTTTATTAACTAAATGGCAATGGTAACGAGTGCTGTTTTATTTTCGGTTAAGAATCGCTTGTCTCTTTATCTCTTTTTAATTCGTATAATTTTTCATTAATTCGCCATTTACATACAAACGTAGAAAAGTTTGTGTTACAAAATTATAAAGTGTTCACCCAAAATATAGAATATTAAGCGCTGAATTGATTTATGTTCATTCAAACATTGATGTCACTTGAAACTAAATGGACTTGAAAGAATTTTCTTTAGGTATAATTTTTACAATGTTTACCCAAAAACGGACATTCAGAATTCACAAGCTGAAATATTCGGTCAAATGCTCACTTTGTACTGTAAAATTATGTTATAAAATATTAAAATGTTATTAAAAACATATCATGTATGAACTTAAATTCGAGCAATGTAAGTTGAAACAGTTGTTTCAGATGCTCGATGATTTTTTCAGATGATTTGCATCGTACGGAGAAACGATTCGAAGGTAAATAGAGGTAAGATCAAGTGAAATAGGAGGTAAAAATGATTTATATCAGCGATAAACATGGAATTGTTTACATGCCTCCCAATATTTTTTACTTTTTTAATGCAAGAATTTGCAATACATTTTTGTACTTTGTAAAACAATGAATTCCTTCCAGCAAAATCTTTGGTTATTTAAGGTAAAAAACGAAACCCAGTTACTATTGGCAACTTGAACTATATTAGAGTAAATATGGGTAAAGGTCAAAACCCAAAACTTGGTCTTCACATTTGCATAAAGCAATCTAATCTGTAATAAATTATTTTTGACATGAATTATGTATTAAGCTTCCAGTTCCTTTCAGGGTCAGTGTTACAAAAACTGATTTTCCCTTAGAACTTTCCCAGATTGAGTGATTTTGATTATTTATATTTGGCTCAGGTTTGACTTAACGTAAACAGACTATTTAAAATTTTTATAATTAGGCGCTTGTCACTGTGGCGAGGATTTAGGATTTTGAAGAAACCTAGCTCGATGTTGACGTTGAAATCTCTTAAACACTTTTTTTATAGGAAATAATAAGAGTAAATGGTTAACAATTACTGCTATCTATAAACTTACCATTAGGTACAAAAATATTCAAGTATAAGCAGTCTTCACTTACAACGGTGGGTAATTTCTCATCAGTTAACAATTGCAAAAATGGTAATTCAGAGTCCTTGTAATCTTCTTTCACCTGGAGACAACCCGGTAGATACGACGAATAATTTCTAACGTCTTTCCACTCAGGAAGAGGATTTGTAACCGGAGGTGCAAATCTCAAGTTTCCAACTGGAGGTTGTGCGTAAGGTATTCCAAAATATGCCATAATTTTCTGCACTCTGGCTTTGGATAATTCGATTCCAAGAATTTTGCCCTGATTGGGAATATCAATTTCGGACAACTCGCATGAACTTATAAAAAAAATTGCTACCAGACACAAACATCGAAAATGCGTGGCAAAAATATTTGAATTTAATAAACCCATTTCGATAGCAGAAGGAAAAATGGCTGTTTCTTGAGTAAAATCGCGGGATCGACTGCACGAGCTTGATGAAGGAAAATGTTGCGTGATAAAGTTTCCCTCCACGTTATTTATTTGACGATCAATTTAAATTTTCACAAAATGGGTCAGAATGGCTTATTCCGTTGCTTATATACACAGCAGCGACTGTTTTTGAGAATTGCAATAGACAAAAATCCCGAAAAGGCCACAAGGACGTTGGATTTCAGTTGTTTCCATACAATATTAATTAAAAGTGAAAAACTAAAGCAGCGGAGCAAGCCAAAAAGGCAAATACCTTGAAAAGATTAATGTAAAAAGCTAATAACGTTTGATGAAACACAATTATGAAATTTTTTGTCTGTGATTTGTCACAATAGTTAAGGCCATGAAGTTTAAGTAAATTTGAATTTTTTTCTGTTAAAGTCACACATCAGTATTTTCAACTTTACAACTTCTAGAAATAAGAAGGTAATTTAATTCCTTAAATAAAGGGGAATATAATTTGTATAGTTCTGCAGATCGTTCCTCCTCCTCCTTTTTCCGTTAACCTCCAGAGGATGCTGGGACACCATTCATATTTCATTCAGCAGTCGATTCCATGCTTGCCTATATTGTGCAGTCCTCTCGGCATCATGCAGTCTCATATTTAGCAAGGGTTTTGTTTGGTCTACCCATCTAGTTGGAGATCTGCCTCTTGGGTTCTGCCTTCTATTTTTCTTTCTATGACTAGTCGTTGCATTGTTTCTGATCAGTTTTCCTGATAGATACCAGATAGTACCAGTCGAAGCAGGTAGTGAAACTGTTCTGTAGTTGCTGCATTCCTAAGACGAACCTTTTTTGAATGTTGGAATAAACAGCGACTCTCGCCAATCTTCAGGAAAATGTTCTGTTTTCCATATCAGGTTACGGATTTTATGAAACAGCTCTATTCTCGCCTCGCCCAGATACTTTAACACCTCTGCTGTTATTTGATCCATACCTGGTAATTTTTTGTTTCAAATCAGTTTTATGACATTTTCAACTTTCCATCTTAGTATATCAGGCGCTTGAGGGATAATTATTTGTTCTGAGAGTTTTTCTAAATGACCTTTGTAAAGTTTTTCGCAATATATTTTCCAAACTTCTGCTATACCGTTAGCGTTATTCATAATTTCTCCGTCCTCATTCTTTATCACTTGGGTGCGCAGTTTGAATTCTTTAGAGAGATATCTTACTTTGTTAAAAAATTCTCGACACTCATGTTTGTGGGAATGTTCCTCCAGTTCCCTGCAGACTCCTACGATGTGGTCATTTTTATCTCGCCTGCTTGCTGCCTTGATCTCTCTGTTCAGTTGTTTAATATTAACCTGGTTCTCTTAATTTGGCGCTAGTTTTAGTTGCTTCCGTTGCTCGACGAGTTTCATGGTGTTATCACTAATCCAACGTTTTTTCATAATTTGAGAATTTTCTTTTCATGATTTCACTGCTTCAGTTATCCACTCTTAATGCTTCTTCAAGCCTCTTCTATATTATAAACGACGACCCGGGCGTCGTGATTTTTCAAGACCCGTTTAAAAAGATCTACATCGAAGTTTAGTCTTGGGATTGCTGTTGGGCATAGTTTGTTTCTTTAGTTTGGTTTTGTATTTGGACCAAAGTAGCGTGTGGTCAGACCCACAGTCTACCCCGATATTTTCGATGGTACTTCGCCATCGATTTTTTATTAAAATATAATCGATTTGTTCGGCTCCCGCTACGTAAAAGGTGTGGTCGTCGGAAGTCAAGAAGTGGCCCATGCCTCTCCAGTGAGTCTCAGAGATTCCGTAAATTTTTATGTTTCTCTTTGTATATTGCCTGTTTAAGCTCTCTTTCCAAAGCAAATGTCTTTCCAGTCTGCAGTAACCATTTGACGTTCCATGTGGCCAAGTCTACAGATTTCCTTCGGTGGATTTTAGGAAATTTAGGAATTATAGGAATTATTCAGTACCTGATTTCGCATGTGCCGCTTGGACATCCACATCTATATGCACTAGAGCATATTTCACACTACATATATGGCCCGGACCTATCTGAGCGTCGGTTACCAATCGGGTCGCATGGTGATCCTCACATTTCTTCTTTGCCTATACTCATATTCTTGGTGTGCTCAGGGGAAAATAATCAGGTGGTTTCCCGTTACCTGCCTGATTCTATGCCGTTGACCATATTATTTGGCTCGTTCGCCTTCGGGGGCTATTTCTCACTCCCCAGGACAAGACAGTGTCCTTATTATTTCGAAGAGATAAGTTTCTTGCATAGGTACAGAGGGAATTTCCCTTCATCGGATTGAAGACCATAGAGCGTTACTTCAATCCTCCAGCACTTTAGAGTAGGTACTGTAGGTCATGGCAAGAACATTTTTTCATCTATTTGGTTATAACTAAACTAACAATTTTGAAATGTTATATATATTATATACAGCATACTTTTCTTGACATTGGTATATAAGGGGAGTTTCTAGAAATGCAGGATGAGAGTGAAAATATTAACAATTTTAAAAATATAGAAAAAATACTTGAACCCACAGAAAAATTGCATAACTGTTTTAGTAAAGAGACTTTAAGAGACATCAGAAGCGATTTCCTTTAAAAACTGTATTGACTCAGAAATAACGGGGTAAATAGACCTTGTCCAATTACATTAAATTGTTTTTCGCAAGCAAAATCTCCGTTTTCGAAATATAGGATGTCAAAATTTATTTAAAAAAATGCAAAACTCCAAATTTATCCAAAACGATTTTATAAATTTTAATGAAACTTAGTGGGTAGTGAAGGCTGTACTTATTTTCAATTATTTTAATTTCTTAATTTTTACCAGTGGGGTGCATACCGCCATGTTATTAAATATTTCGAAGGAAAAAAATTTGAGCCACTGGTTTTCTGAAGAATAAAAAATATATTTTAACTGATTGTTCAATACTGAAGCACAAAGCACTTTTTTATTTTCAGGCTATGTTGCCGCATCTTATTTTAAATCCTGTCACTCTTAGTTGCCATGACGAAAGTGACCATTTTTAATACAATCGAATGCCAAAGAAATGCTGACAGCTGTCAATTACATTTTGAAAAAAATCATAATCGTGCCCAGACGCTTAAATTATACAAACAAATATTATTTATTATTATTATAGGAAAATTAAGAAAAAGGAAGCTTTTGTAACTTATCCCTGAATTTATTTATTTATTTCTGTTAGTTATTTCTGGGACACTCTGTATATAGCTCAATTATTGAATTGCAAGTTAATATCCATAACATACAAAACTTTGGAATTTGTCTGATATGATTGCAAATTGAGTTAGCACAGTTATTAAGCGAAATCGCTTTTCAGGTCGAAGTTCGCTTAAAGTGCCTCTTTACTAAAACAGTTATGCAATTTTGAAACTATTTAATATTTAAATGATATTCTGTAACATTTAGCCTTACTTAAATTGAGCAATAAAATTAATTAAATTAAATTGAATACATTAAATGCCTGGTAGGAATAATTTACAAAAAAAAACTAGTCACAAGTTATCTTAGAAGGAAAGCACTACATTTTTATAAGTAACGTTTTTATTGTCAATTGCCCAATTAATTCGAAAACTTTAAAATAATAAAAAAGCAAATTTCTCAACATTCTTATTAACTGCATTAATTTATCACACAAAGTAAATCCAGTTTAACCTCATAAGGGTATTAAATAATAAAGTAATGCTTTATGTTAATATTGCTAATTTGGAATAAAACTGTTTCCGATTAAACATCTATGCAAAAAACGTCAATACGTAAATAAATTTCATGTAATTTTAATTACTGAATCGCAATCTTAATTATTCATTAAGACATAGAAAAAAGTGGTTTTTATTTTTTATCTTGTAAACGAAACGAAAAACAAAAGAACGGAAAAAAACATACTAGTTGTTTAATCCGAAAATAAGTTAGGGCTACTTTTTGTCAAACATATTGGCAAAGTTGACCGTCGGGCCGGTCCCGGGCAAAATTAGTCTCTTTTTGCAGTATTTCAGAACAATTTCGACTGAACGATTATGATGTTATTTATGAAAAACCGTTTTTTTTTTAGTTCTTTATTCATATAAACTTTTCTTTTTAAAATCACTCAGAAAATCAAATTTCAAGCTTAAGGTTGCCGTGTACTTAAACTATGCGTGTAATTTTTCTAACAAATATGTGCTGCTTAACATATTGTTAATGACTATGGTCAATTAATGAGTCAACTTTTGATTTTAAGATATATTTTTACAGGTTAATTTACGTTATTTCTGGACGTCCATTTAAGTCTTTTGCTGCATAGTTTTGTTGTGATGATTTCGACATTATCTTCCACGTTTTTTTTTTCCAAAATTTTTTGTCAATTTAAACATGTAACGTGTTTTTATACGTGTGAGCATAATTTTAACACAGGATTATGGTTTATTAAAAAAAAAAACAGCAACAATTTGAACGCAAAAAGCATAAAACATTATTGAAAATATCTAACCATAAGTGTCGCCTAGGGAGTCAACACTGTTCAATGTTCTGCATTAGATGTGCAAAAAAGATTAACAGATACTTGATTTTCACATTGCATGCGAAAAACTTAGTGAGAAGGAATACACAGACCTCAAAGAAACCGGCCAAATCGATAAGTGGGTATATAATTTTTGCACAAATAAGAAACTAACCTCCAAAATTGAAACCATATCTGATACATTATCGCCTGGCGGCGCGCTTCCAACACCAAGCGATGTTG